ATATATATATATATATATATATATATATATATATATATATATATATATATATACACACACCACATTTTCTTGATCCATTCATCTACTGAGAGGTATCTGGTTTGGTTCCATATTTTAGGTATGATAAATAATGCTGCAATTAACATGGTTGTGCTGGTACCTTAAATATGGAAACAAGAGGTTTTCTTTGTTGTTGTTTTGTGTTTGTTTTTGTTGGTTGTGGGGCTTGAACTCTGAGCTTGGGTGCTGTCCTTGAGCTCTTCAGCTCAAGGCAAACACTCTACCACTTGAGCCACAGTGCCACTTCTGGTTTTCTGGTGGTTAATTAGAGATCAGAGTCTCCTGGACTTTCCTGCCCAGGTTGGCTTTGAACCTTGATCCTCAGATCTCAGCCTCCTAAGTAAATAGGATTACAGACATGAACCACCGGCGCCCAGCTTGTTGTTGTTTTTAATGTACTATGTGAAGTTACCTCCTTTTTCTTTCATTCCCACCCCCCCATGCAGCCTATCCCTTGTTGTCACTGTATTTAATTTTGGTACCCTGTGTATTGTATATACATTTATCTGAATTAGGGAAGGGAAGGGAAGAACAACAAAATGGTGAGACAAAAGACAAAGGGCAAACCAATCCAACAGCAAAGCTCACAAGACAATATGTTGGAAATGAACTTCACAACTTAAAGGAAGGCATTGTGGGGGAGAGAAAGTGGGAGAAAAATGAGGAAGTGGGTAACAAGTTCTACAAGAAATGTACTCACTACTTTACATATGTAACTATAACCTCTCTGTATATCATCTTGACAATAAAATTAATTTTTAAAACATGTATATGTTTACCTGCTCTGAGTCTTGACACACAGACTCTTAAGAAAAGTTATAGTGTCTTCCCCTCTGGTGTTGAAGGCCACTATGCAGACTGGATATAGGAGTTCAGAAGCCCTTTGGAAGAGAATCTCCTTGCATTCTTCAGGGACATCCCCCACCACAAAATAGTAAATTGATTCAATCTGCAAGACAGTGGCACCAATGGTTTATTTTCCTGACACACCTTAGCCTTGACCTGAGCTCAGCAGCAATACATTAGCAATACATTATCTATAAACTGACAGGATTTTTTTTCTTTAATGGGCAGAAAGCATAGTGACCCTGTTCAGTGTTCTGTGAAGACACGGGAAGGTACAGGTAGCAAATGAGAGATTCAGAAAGATCCATGGCAGTGGCTACAGTCTCAGGCAGTGCAGGACAAGAATATGATTGGCCAATTTGGAGTACAGACTCCCTATGGAGCCATAAGTACATTCCACAGGTTAGGAAAATTTATTTTAAAGCCAATAAACAAAATTTTGGACTAGCCTATAGGGTAGAAAGCTGATTAGACATTTCTCAAGGTGGTGTCAGATTTCTACAATGCAAACTCATATAGCTTCAATCTGAGGCATAATGTAGAAAGGAGAACATGTTCCCAGCTACTTCATCCCCTGATCCAATCTCACTAGCAAAACATATACCTGGGGAGAGAAGATGATTATGGTCTTATGCAATTCATCAGGAGCCTGGACTGCCCACCAGGTCTTGCCCTACACTAATACCAAACCAGGAGCAGAAGGAGGAACAACTTGTGTAAGGATACACATACACATGCATATATTAAAACTGGGATTTTGAAAAATGTTTACCTAACCAAGGTAAAGAACAATTCTAAAACAGTTCTCCCTGCCTTTTAGAGAAATGTAAAGGTCAAGAAACGAGGACCCTATGATAACTGTCTCCCCACAAACTCAATCATAACCATTCCTGCTCTTCCCCAAGATTCTGCTTCCCTGTGTTTATCTCTCCTGCCACTTATGAGTTCTGCTACTTCAGACAAGTGACCTAGTTTCAGCTTCTTCACTTGTGGAAAAAAGAAGGGCATGCAGTTTATTCTTCATGACTGAGTTTTAAGAAAATGATCTACACTTATGTATGCATGTATGTGTTTATATAAATCTCAGAGTAAAAACTGAAGAGGAGCCAGGAAGACACATCACTGCAACCTGCCCCTCCAAACATCCTAATGGTTTGTACACCCCTCCAATTGTATTGGATTTAAGGAATAAACAGGTTTTACCACCCCTTTCAGATTTATGGCCCTCTTCTTGATTTAATTTCACACCTTCATTGGCTGAAAATAGCAAATGGTCATCACATTTTCAAATCTGGGACTTAAAAACTCATTAGCAGAGAAAAGTTGACCCATGATTGGTTTCCCAGTTGGTTAGGAGCCTCTGTCTTCAGCTGACAGGCAGAAAGTATCCTCAAAAGAGCAGAGGGGCTGGGGGCAAGAGCCAAGGCTAGGAATGAGGAGAAGGTGAGAGTATGGGCTGAGACCAACAACAACCCTCCTCCAACATATACCAGAAGTCTCTTCCCTGCTCTCTCTCTCTTTCTCAGCTCTCTGACACCAAAAGAATGACTAACCTAATTAATAATGGGCAAATGAATACTTTTCAAAAGGAGTAAAAAAAAACGATGGCTAATAAGAAATGTGCAACATCCTTACTCATAACGGAAATGAAAATCAAAACATCACTGAGATTTGACCTCACCCCAGTCAGAGGGCCATAATCAAGAAAACAATAAAGGATGTGGTGGTATTAAGAGACCCTTATACAATGTTGGAAACGAATGTAAATTAGTAGGGCCACAATGGAAATTAGTATGGAGGTTCTATATAAAATTGAAAATAGAACTACCATATGATCTAGTTATACCACACCTGAGCACATGTCTGAAGGAATGTAAGTCAAGATACCTGTACATCAATTTTTTTATACATACTGAAAACAGTAGCCAAGATATGGAATTAACTGTGCCCATAATATGATGTCTGGCATCAGATTGGCATATATGCACAACTTACTCAGCTATAAAAGGTATAAAACTATGTTGTTTGCAGAAAAATGAAGTAAAATTATGTCAAGTGAAATAAGCCAGACTGAGAAAGACAAATACTACAAGTTTTCCCTCATATTTATATATATATATATATGTACAGAAATATATATATAATCTAGTCCTTTAAAAATGAGTCACAGGAATGTAAAAACAGATTCGGTTTGGGAGAGGGAACTAGCAGGAGAAGGGAGGTGAAAAGAGAGGGTGAAGATAGAATAAATATAGTTGAAGTACTTTATACACAAAACAACCATGAAATGTAATTGTTTTAAGAAGTGGAGTATGGAGAATGAGGGGGAGTGAGTTGAATTTGATCGGGGTATACACATGAATGGAAATAATACAACAAAACCCTTTTGTACAACTAATATATGCTAATAAAGAAGAAGGATAGAGTACATCTTGGAAAGTGAAGATGGGGAAGTTGTAAATCTCAGCCAGCCACTTAGGAGGCAGAAAAACACACAGAAACAAAAGCAGCACTCTCCATATTAATGATTAGGTGACTGAATTGTTCCTCCAGCAAACGTACTCTGTGTCAGTGTTCCTCGTGATACATACTACCTCACATGGAATGGACTGGATGTTAGTACATTCACAAAAATCTTCCAGCTAGATCTGTGCCCAAACTTAGCATGAGGGCAGGGTCATCCTGTCCTAAGCATCTAAAAATGACACATGGTTTACGGCAGGAAATGGACAGAGTATCTTCCAGGGTTTGTGAAGTCGGCAGGGAGGTGAGGACAGACATCTCTAGCATCTGGCATGGCAGCCTCTGATGCCTCTTCTCCATTGTGTACTATGTTTTTCTGCTCTGGCAAAAGCCTAAGGATCTGACATTCTTCAGCAGAAATGCTTTTCTCTTGAGATTTAAATAAACTGAAAATTGTCATAGCCTACAATGAATCAGGTGTTCCTTTCCTTTAACTATGGAGTTACCTACTATGCATTATTGTCACCACTCCACTTGTTATATAACTTAAACTTGTTATATTTTCAGTCGACTCTGTTAATCCATTTCGTAAAGGTCCTGGGAGGTGCTTTATAAAGAGGTCAGTCACCTACCCTACCCCCAGTCTCCTGCATACAACCTTTCAGTCTCACATAATGACATTAGGAAAAACAGAAAGGAAGATGAATATGCCACATATAACTAAATTCCCCTAAATGGATAAAGTCCTTCCTAAAGAAAAAGGGCTTTCAGATTGTTATTTGGGGGTAAGAAGCTAAAATGTATTATTTAATACAACAGAGTCATGGAGAATGAATCATTGTTAGTATGTCCAATTTATAGATGAAGACACTGAGGCTTAGGAAAAGTTAATTGACTTGGCCTGGGAGCTTGTTAACCCAAGCTGCCTGAACCCATGAGCTTCAGCCCTGGCTCTCAGCCACCCATTGTCTTGGCTCTTGGCAAGACTAGGCACCTATTAGAGATGAAAACCAATCTCAGAACTAGAAAAGCAAAGTCATGGGGCAGGGAAGGTAGCCAAGAAAGTCACTCTTTTTACTTTCTGGGCTTCCCATCAGCCAAGAGTTCAGATTCCTACATCTGACATCAACACTGCTGACCAGAAGTTGGGTCCATGAAGTTGGGGGGGGGGGGAGGAGGGTATAGGGAAGGGTCTTCATGGGAATCTCCACCCCTTAACCAGTACCTTCAAGATCCTGTAGGAGGCGGGCCATTTCTAAGACTTAGCAGCAGCAGACAGACCAGGAGCTGCTTCCTCACTGACCAGCATTTCTCTAAGGTGAATGCACACTTAATTTGATAAAAATGGTAGGCACATGGACTCTATTCAGCCTCTTTAGAGTGAGTCAAAAGCTATCACCACCTTATATACCATAAATAGGGTGGTACCTTTATGTTTTTACTTGCAATGTCCCATTCTGTCTGGGCCATTCATTCTGCCACTTCTCATAGGAAAACCATGCATTCTGCACAGTTAAGGAGACCTGGACATCTTCCCAGCTGCAGTGTGGGCAAGAAAAAAGAAATAGGGAGTGTCTGCTTCTACTCTGACTGTCCTGTGCCAGCCTGTTGAAACCTGCTCTCTCACTGCCAAAGTCTCCTGGTACAAAACCACTCTCCCAAGGAGCAAAAATGAAAGCCAAGCAGAAGTGCAGCAAGAGGGCTAGCACAAATTTGTCTTTCTCATCATACAACTTTGACCACTACAGCATTTTGGGCCAACTCCAGATGCTGGAATTTGACTTTCAGATACTCCCTGAGCCTGTGGCAGCCCTTTTTGGCTTGGCCTACTTTGATTTTCTCTACCCTTCCATGGTAGTGATCATTTCTCATCATCAATACTAAATCAATTCAAACTGGTTTACTCAGATCCCTCCCAAAACTTTTGAACTTACTTACTTTCTGTCCTCCAAGCTTCAGGGTCCTTGTCCTAACATATCATCTGCCGGAGTCCCACAAGGCCTAGCAAAGTTGTTTCTTTGCTCCTGCATAGACTATAAAAATACCTCAACGTATGCCACATCTTAAGGATGGGAATCAACAATGTGGGGCCCACATTTATCTCCCAAACTCAAGAATATCCATGTTATTGCCTTTCTATTCCTTCAATATTCAACAAAATTCAAAGAGCCCTTATTAGGCATTAGGGACACAAAAATAAAAATGTTTGATGCCTGCCCACACCACTAAGAGAAACAAATGAAGTGCCATGGACTGATGGGGCCCAGCCATCATCTTGCAGCCCAGTGGAACAGGCTCCTATGGCATCATAGGATTGTCTCTGACTCATCCATTCAATCTTACAATAGTATGATTTTACAAACAAAAAAACCCAGATGTGTGCCATCAGGTAGTTGAAAGGCCGAGGGAATAAACCTGGAAAGGCAGATGTCCTGTAGACATCCTAGAACCAAGTCTCTGGATAAACAGCCTTATCCTTCCTATGAACCCTAGCGGGCTACCTAGGCTTCCAGGGCTTCCAGGATTCCAGGGCTACCTGGCTCATTGCCTCTCCTCATGAAGGCCAAGGAAGTTACCAACTTCCATAAGACATATTTCTTGAAACAAATGGAACTGGAAAACAGAAACAGTGCTAGCCAGCACAGCTGGGCACTGAGGCTGCCAGCCCCTCACCTGTCAAACGTTTCCTCAACAGCCCCCAAGTTGCCCTTCTCATGACTATCTCCTTTCCTACAGAATGCAATAATAACCCATCCATCAAGAGTGTCTTCAAGTGTTCTTATCAGAAACATAGTTTAAAGAGCCCACCTGGGCTCTTTTTAGACTACCAGGTTCACTGTTAATTGTCTCTCCTTGTTCAGGCTTTCAGGCCCACTATAGTTACAAAGCCTAGTTCTGAAGATGCCCACTGGCCTACTCTGCATGTGAACTTGACACAAAAAGAACAGACTTGAGTGTTAATATTTAGACATAAGATAATGCCTACTTTCTTGGTTCCTCTAATGGCCCACTCATGAAAAGAGTTGCTAATTCAAAGCAAGCTGTCATTAGTAGTCAAAGTCCAGGTGTTTATATATACTGTTCAAAGGTTCCTTACGCTTTAAGTTACTGCTGTTCCTAGGAGATTGAAGCTACATGAATGAATGTGAAGCTCACTGGGATGGACGTGGCATGTATGGAGCAGAGGAACTGACTTTAGGGGAACCTATACTACCCTCTTTTCTATGCATACTCTTTTTTACTCCCCATATACTATAGTTCATGGTAGTTTTATACATGAGGTTATTACGTTTACTAGAATTTTCTTGGGACCACCCAAAGATAGGGACTATAGATGGTAGAACTCTGTGATTTGTATATGCTTTTTCTCTTCTATGGAGTTTTCAGGTTGCACTATATGATCAGTGCCATGAGCTTCTTTCTTCTTCCTCTTCTGTAGAACTCCCTGGAACTCGCTGAAATTGTTCCAGATTTTCTAGGGTAGGGATAGACCACAAAGAGACAAGAGGTATAAATAAAGGAAATAAAAGAAGAATTCAAGGTCATTGGAGACAGGTGGCTAGAGTTAGCTGAAGCAATATAGTTAGGTTCACAAAGAAAGAACATACTTGTGCATGTACATACACACATGCATGCAAACAAAGCCCAGGAAATGTTTCATTTCTAGAATGCTTATTAAGGTGTCCAGGTACTTGGAATTTTACAGATGTTGAAACAAATGTGAGGGCCAAAGATCAACGTAGCTTATGTTTGGTTCTCTGTTAATGGAAAACATTTATTCATTGGCCTTTGTGAAGAAAATGTGTTTCCAATTTCAAGCCATCATCCTCAGGTTTGATAAGAGAAGGCTGCTAGAGCCATTATTTAGGATTATCCTGGTGCCAGTGCATGGCCTCCTTGTCCAAAAGGGACTTCTAAAAGTAGCCAGGGAAAACTTGAAACCTAAATAAACCCCATATTTCCATGGAAGAGCAAACAGCTACATATTAAATATCTGTTTCCCAAAGGCATGCAGATCTACAACTGCAGGGGAAGCCAAGGCTGGCCAAGGAACTTCTTCTGCCAGAGTACTTTCCCATCATCTCATGACTGTCCTGAATATTTCCACACTACAGTGCTTCACACAACACTTGGCCTGTGGCTGAGACATAAAATACCACTATTTAATCACTTCTTCATGGTAAAATTTTATTTCCCAAAGGTCCCTTTTAAGTTTCTATATCAGTACAGTAGCAATAAAAAAATGAGTGGACTTACCAACTGGGATACATTTTATCCTGGAAAGCACAGGATAGCTCCATCTTATGAAGAGGAACTAAGAATGGTACAGTACCATAGGGGCTGGAGAAACCCTATTTTCCCATCCTCTCATTCTCCCTATTTCCTCATCTCTATGTCATCATTCTTGGAGGAATCTTCCAAGAACAAGAAAGAAAAGGGCAAGAGTAGAATTAATGAGTTAGCGATGACCAGTGATGGCCTCATTCTTGTGGGTAGCATTTGCCTCCCTCTTATTGGCAACTCCACTCACCACTCAGAGGGAGCCTTATTAGGCTCATGGGACAGATATCAGGCCCAGTTTTGCCATCATCAAGGCTGCCACTTTGATCTCTTTCTGAGGCACAGAACTTCTTTCTCAACAGGTTGCAAATTGAGAGGTGAATAAGATTATGACCTATGAGCTCTTGAATTTCAGTGCTAGGGTCTCTGTGGAAGGCTCTGGAGCTCTACCAGGAGGGGACCCAGGCCAGTTGAAAGGTAAAAATAGTGAACATGTAGAGTTAAGATTGTAATCACCTTAGGGAACTGGGCTAGCCATGGATACACTTACAGTTTTGTCATTGGCAGCTTCCAGCAGAGCCTCCAAGCTGCTATCCTCAAGCATAATCATTGGCTCAAAAATCTTTTTTTCAACCCAACTGATGGCAGCAGCTATGGATTGTTCAGTCACAAGAGTAGCATGATCCTGCCACTTAATGGGCTCTTGAGAAACCCTGAAAGGAACCACATGGAGCAGTCACCAAGCAGTGGTAGTCTAATGGCCATGAACAGTCATTGAGCATCATCTTGACAATAAAGAAGACACAGCTTCAGTCCTCTGAAAGATACCAACAAACTGTGTGAGCTGGTTAAGATAAGTCTATCTTGTTCAGGAAAATATGCTTGCTTTTTTCCATTAGTTACTTTTTTGAAAAAAAAATGAAATTATTTTGGCTTCAGCAGAGAAAATCTGGTTAACCATTTAGTTGAAAGCTTGGAAATGATGGATGGATATCCCCACATATGTACATCTCAAAAAGAGGAGCCATTTTAACTTATCTGTGCTTATAATTGCAAATAAATTGGACTTATTGTCCACTACAGCCCACTTCCACAACTAGAACTGGCTCACCTGTAGCCTCTCTGTGTGGCTTCTGTGGGCTAAGAAATCTGAATGATTAATATGCTAGAGGAAACATTCCAAGAAGGCAAAACTGGTACATGTTTCAGCACTAATTCCTCTAATATTAAACGTGAAAATGATCTGAGATAGAACATCATTATGCACCGTCCCCAAAATTGTCTTCTATTTTGCTGAAAAGGAAAAAGTTCATTATTAGATTCTACCCCCACCCCAATCTCCTCTAATCCAGATGTTTCTTGTCAGAGAACTACAACCCTACTGCTGTTCCAGATGAGAAGTTAACACTGATATCTAAATTCTCATGATTCCAAGAATCCATAAATAATTGATCATGAAAATGGTGAAATATGAGAAATTCTATAAAGGCAGCCAGCCACCTGTTGTTCTGCTTAAAAGGGTCAACTCGCAGGAGAGGTCAACTTCAGTTGCAAATTCAGTCTGGAAGAACCGTAAAATATGTGGCCCGCGCATTCATTTCCCAAGCAAAAGTCTAAAATGAGGAAAGATATTTGGTTTTAAATTTGTATTGAATATCAATATATCATTCATATTCTCTTACTTTGGCCTTCCCATGCATTCAAGAAAAGTCTTGTTTCTAAATCTCTTTTAATATAAAAACTCAGATGTTCCAAGGAAAGCAGATATGGTTCCTAAGATTTATTCACTGAGGAATTTCTGTGAAACTGTACATTCTAGGAGACCATAAGACAACACTTCCTCCCTTACCATAAAGCTAGCTGTATTTGCTAGGCTACTTAATTCCAAATAGGTGCCAATGGCATAATGCTTCACTGAAATTAATGCTTTTCTCTGGGAACTTACCATATGATATTGAACTTGGTTATTTGAGCCACTTGCTCTTGGAAGACCATTGTCAAAGCGTCTCGGCACAAATTAAGCTCTGACTCTAGAACATCACTGAAATCCAGCACTATGGTGATACACTGTTCCAATATGACACCAAAAATCTGCCGGCTATTGCTGGTGAGCCATTCCATCCGCTGCCTGTAGCTCTCTGCAGCTTGTGTCAAATAGTCCATAAACGGGTAGATCAGTTCTGATTTTGCTGTCAGCTTAATAAAAACAAAACAGTAAGACAGCTCCAAAATAAGTCATCTGAAACACAGTCATGCTATCAAGAACTGTGCATTTAAAAACAATTGTGTAAATGGCCTTCCACACCTGCAGGGTCCAGGAGGAAAAGTCTAGCCTTTCAACAGAAAAACCACTGGATGATTCCCCACAGAAGAAAAGATGATATGATCTGTTCAAAATACAGCATTCAAAAAAAAAGATGCTTCCATATTGGCTTTTATTTTTATAGTGCTAGATTATTAGAAAATGGGCACTTATTGGCACTTCTAAGAAATTAAATAGAAAAGAAGGAAAGCTGTCAAAGGCAGGAGAAAAATAAGTCCTGCTAAAACTTTTCTTTTTTTTTTTTTTGGGTCCGGTCGTGGTGCCTGAACTCTGGGCCTGGGCGCTGTCCCTCAGCTCTTCAGCTCAAGGCTAGCGCCTTACCACTTGAGCCACAGCGCCACTTCCGGCTTTTTTTTTCTTTTTGCTTATGTGGTGCTGAGGAATCGAACCCAGGGCCTCAGGCATGCAAGGCAAGCGCTCTACCACTGAGCCACCTTCCCAGCCCCCCTGCTAAAACTTTTAAGTACAACATGCCAAAAATATTTCTGAAAATGCTTCTAAACAGGCTAGAATATCTGTCTAGCTTCCTTTGTGGGACATTAGCCCAGTTATCCATCCTCCTGCTCATTATCTTGGTCCCTGTGTCCTAGGCCAAGCTCCCCTAAACCTGAATCACACAGTCACTCATAGTGGCCACTGACATGTCTAGGGCTGTCCCTAAAACGTGAAGACTTGCAAGCAATTTTTGTATGCATAAATATTCAGTATTTTTTTAAAAGCAAGCATATTTTATAAGGCCTTTTAGGGGCTAGGGAGGAACAAGACAGAAAAAGAGTAAGAAAAAGTTGTGCCTTGTTCTGTGACAAACCAAATTTTAAACTTTTAACAACTCCCAGAACATACCCAAATACCTAAATTGGTCATGAAAATGTGCTTTCTGGATGTGCCACATTTTTATGTCTCATCTCTAAACCCCGTCCCATGGTCTACCCATGTCTGCCAAGCTCATTCCTCAAGGTCCAGCATCACTTCTCCACTGCTCCTCTTGCCCTCTTCAGTCAGGATTCTAATCTCTCTCACCAACCCCCACCCTCTACAATCTAGAAACACATGGATCACAGGGGATAAGGAGATGGAATATGGAGTGAGGTGGTAAAAAGACAGATGTTTCTAATAGTTCCTCAGTGAGTTTAGTGCGGTTCAGTTTTAAAATAGAACATGACAACAAACTCAGGGTTCTACAGAGATTCTTGCTTAGGGCCAAGTTTACTTTAGAAAGTAATTTTGTAAAATAAAGTCATTCCTTTATATCCATAGGTTTTGTGTGGATAAACCAACCTGGGATTCAACCAATCTGGATTCAGAACATAAAAAACTTTTGTATGTGTACTGAATATGTAGCAGTCTTTCTCCATTTTATTATCTAAACAATACAGTATGTGAACTATTTACATAGCCATCTACATTGTATTGCATACTGTAATTTATTTAAAGAAGATTTAAAGTATACAGGAGGATATGAACAGGTTCTGTGTAATTACTATGTCAAATCATATAAGAGACTTGAGCATTCTTGGATTTTGGTATCTTCCAGGGATCTGGGAACTTATCTCTCACAGATGCCAAAGGAATATTGTATTACAAAGTTACAATCCTAGTTGTACATGGATACACTTTGATATGAACAAATATCTACTTATGGACATGATATAGCATGTGTTTCCTTCAGAGATTAATGTCTATTCCTTTATTCTCTTATTTTTGAAGCAGAAGAAAATGTTGATATATAAATGTTTTCATCTCTGATCAAGAGCTTCCTGCACTAATCTCTTATTGGTCAAGGCTTCCTTTCCTAGCTTCTTGTTCATGACTTCTATCACTCTTCAACTAGCCAAAGTAAACCTTCAACTTGAACCTCCACATGATCCGTGATCTGATGTAACCCCAGTATCTTAGTTCAGGACCTGCCCATCAAAGGAACTCTGACTTACATTGTATATTTTGCCATCTTGTGTTGTGAAGGACCGTGGAAACAGGCCCTCCGCATACCGAGAAGTCACAAGTCTCCCCAGAGAAGTCACATAATCTGCATTTTTATAAACATAATAAAATGATATATTATCAAACATTTTTATTTCTTAATGTTTTCCTTTGGTACATTTAAAGTATATCCTCAAAATTATCAACAATGTATAATGCTTTGCATTCCATTCTAAATCATGAAGTATTTCTAGGTGCTGTGATAAATGAAGCTGTTCATAGAATGAGTAAATAGGGCAGGACAACAGTTTGTTTCCATTTACTTCTGTCCAGAATGATTAGGGCAAAGGTAAAATAGAAATTGTGTTAATTCCTAAAACCTTTTATTGAAGACTTGGACTTAATTTTCAGAACTTAAAAACTACAACTTAGATACTATCTATTGTTTTTTTCAGGTGGAGGTTGGTGATGAAATAAGTGAAATGAAGCAAACCATAGACTTGAAATAGCCAAACACAATGTCAGAACCACAAGATTTTGTGCTCATCAGAATATAAGTGCAGCTGTGTAAGCATCCATTGTCTGCACTCACTAATCACCACTACATACTAAATACAGTGCTTACAGCAAGCAAATACAATGTTGCCTAAAGCATATTACTACTCCTTCATTGAACTTCCAGAGACTTGAGAGATGAACTATGACCTGGCAGGGCAGATGAAGTAAGGCTTCTCAGAGATAGATGATTTTATAATGATAATTATTGTGGTTGTGGATACTGTAATCATTAAGTTACAAAAGCAGTATTGTTAGTACCAATACTTCTTTGGGGGATGGGGAAGGGGCAGAACAATGCCCTACTTTAGAAAAGCAGAAATTTTTTTTTTTTTTGGTCCAGTCGTGGGGCCTGAACTCTGGGCCTGGGCACTGTCCCTCAGCTCTTCAGCTCAAGGCTAGTGCTCTACCACTTGAGCCACAGCGCCACTTCCGGCTTTTTTCTTTTTGCTTATGTGGTGCTGAGGAATCGAACCCAGGGCCTCGAACATGCAAGGCAAGCGTTCTACCACTGAGCCACCTTCCCAGCCCCAGAAAAGCAGAAAATTTATAGCTGAATTTATGGTCTCCCTGGCCAGGCTTGGTCCTAAATCACAAGGGATAATAATATTTCCGAGTTTTGATGTTCAACTCTCTCCAGATCAATCTAGAACAGTTACAATTGTTACCAATATAGAATAAAGCTGCCAATAAAAATGATGGAGCATTTGGGTTTTTCTTTGTTTGTTGCTGGTCCCAGGACTTGAACTCTGGGCCTACGCACTATCTCTGAGCTTCTTTCACTAAAGGCTAGTACTCTACCACTTGAGTCACAGTGCCACTCAGCTTTTTCTGAGTAGTTTATTGGAGATAAGAGTCTCACAGACTTTCCTGTCCAGGCTGGCTTCAAACCACAATCCTCAGTTCTCAGCCTCCTGATTAGCTAGAATTATAGGAATGAGCCACTGGCAACTGGCTGAGAATTTGTTTTTTTTTAAATAGTATTTCTGATTGTTAAATAAATAATTCAGAATTACTGAGTGAAATCATAATGGGTGCTCACCAGGTGGGATATTACTAACACATTGAACAGGACAGCTCCTGCAGAGTGGGCTATCTCACACATTGTAAAACACTCAGCAACCTGAACTCCTTGGCTCTCTGTTTCAACAGCATTCCAAGTCAATCATCATAAAAATTTAAAAACCTTAGACCCTCATACATTTTCATGCTTACAGAAGCAGTAGTATTACTAAAAGTAAAGAACCAACACTCTAGCTAGACATGCTGTGCATGCCCCAACATTCATGAGGCTGAAACAGAAAAATCAGGACTTTTAGGTGAGCATGGGCCGCATAGTGAGAACTTGTGTCAAAAAAAAGAAAGAAAAGGGCTGAGTGCATAGCTTTATGGTAGAGTGCTTGTCTGGCATTCATGAGGCCCTGGGTTTGATTCCTTGGTGCCACATAGATGAAAATAAATGTTAAGACATGTTTTAAAAGAGAAGGGGGAGGGTGGAAGGCTTCATAAAATGAAGCATTATACTCACCCAAAACAGACAAGGACTCAAAAAAACAACAACAACAACACCAAAAAAAAAAAAACCCACTTGGCACCAGTGACTCACACCTGTAATCCTAGTTACTCAGAAGGATAAGATCTGAGGATTATGATTCAAAGCCAGCCCCAGCAGGAAAGTCTGAGACTCTCCTTTCCAATTAGCCACCAAAAAAGCCAGAAGCAAATCTGTGGCTCAAGTGGTAGGACAAAAGCAAAAGTGGTAGAGTCTTGGACAAGAGAGCTCAGGAATAGCACTGAGTTCAAATCCCAGGACTGGAAGAGACAAAGACAGGAGACAGAGAGAAAGAGAAAGAGAAATAGAGAGACCCAATGTCTTTGATGAACACAGATGCAAACCTCCCTAATAAAATACTTGGCAACTAATTACAACAATTAATCAAAAAAATCACACTATGATCAAGTTAGATTTATCCTAGGGATGAAAGATTGGCTCAATATATGTAAATCAATAGGTGTAATATAGCACATTATCAGAACCATAGACAAGAATCATGTGATTATTTCAAAAATTGCAGAGAAAGCCTTTGACATAATACAACATTCTCTTTTGATAAAAGCTCTGGAGAAGTTAGGAATAGAAGGAACATTTCTCAACATAATAAAGGCTGTTTATGACAAATCTACAGCCATCATCATACTAAGGATGAAAAACCAAAACTTTTAGTTTTCCTTTAAAATCAGAAACAAGGATGCTTACTTTCCTCCATTCTATTGCAATTTAGTACTGGAGTTCCTAGCCAGAGCAGTAAAGTAAGATAAACATCCGTGCACAGACATATTAACTGAAGTATGGTATATGTATGGGAAGAATTCAAATGGTGTAATTTCTTAGAACATAGAGTCTAACAAAATGAATACCAAGAAGCTAACACTTGAGGTGAGTAGGAGAGAGGCCAAGGGGAGGGGGGAAGACAAATGAAGAAAGGAAGAAGAAGAAAATGAAATAATATTTAATGTATACCACGTGAAACTAGGAAACTTGAAGTGAGTTTAGGATGGATGGGGAGAGAACAATGACAGGGGCAATACAATGCATTGTACTCATAAACCGCCATGTTGAATTATAACCCCTTTATATGACTAAAGATAAGAAAATATAATTTTGAAAAATGAAAGAGAAGGGAAAGAGGGAGAGAGAGAAGGAAGAAGTAGAAAAAGAGGAGGGGAAGGGTGAGGAGGGAGGGAAGGAAGAAAGAAAGGAGAGGAGAGAAGGCAAAAGAGGAGAGGAGAGAATAATTGGTTCCTCCAATACAAAAGGGAATTGCATATCCCAATGGATTAGCAGGACATCTGTTAGGGAATGGATAAACAAAAATAACTTCCATTTAATCATTAAAAAGAACACAATTAAGCCTTGTTAATATTGAACATGAGAACTGACAATCATACTTCTATATAACACACATATGTCTGGAGTGTGTGCACAAGAATTGTCTACTGTTAAGAGATGTGAGATCCAAGTACGGTCAGAGACCTTTTGTTCCAAGGAGCCTTCAAAACTGACCGTGCCTCCTCAAAGGCAACACAGCAGGGTGCTGGCTGCTTGTGAGTGCTATACCTTCACATTGTGGGAATCCAATCTGTGACAAAATCTGTTTCAAGGTCAATTTGTTGCTCTTAAGCCCGTGAAGTTGAAGCCATTGCTCAGATGAAATGAGACTCTGCTTGGCCAAGTCTGTCTTGGTATTTCTCAGTTCCTTCTGCCTCTGCAGCTGCTGCTTTGAGATGACAGGAGACAAGCCTGATTTCTCCATCTCCAAATCAGAATCTAAGTCACAGAGCCCTCCTGTAACAAGAATAATGAAACTTGGATTTCTTAAAACTTGGAATCTAACGTCAACATCAAGATAAGTTTACTATAAATCATAGTATATCCATAAAGTGGAATCCTACTTATCAGTTAAAATTATAAGCTAGACACATTGGCTCAAGCCCACAATCCTAGCTCCTTCGGAGATGGAGATAGAGGGAAATGTGGTTCAAGGTTCACAAAATGGAGGTGAGTAAAAGGAAGTTCTTGAGACTCCATCTCACCCAATATCTGGATGCAGTGGCATGTAACTGTTATCTCAACTGGAGAAACACAATGGCTGAGCACAGTAACACATGACTATCATTCCCGGTGACACAGGAAGCACAAGGAAGAAGACTGCCACCTGAGCCAGCCTGGATATAAAATGTGACCCCACTGCGAAAATAACCAATGCAAAAAGGGACCAGAGACATGGCTTAAGCAGTACCTAACAAGCAGTATGCCCCGAATTAAATCTTCAGTACAAAAAGAAAAAAAATATAGTATATTTGTTGACAAATTAGATGTCTACACATAATACTAAGATGTATCCATAAAATTCAGTATTCATATGTATATATATTTATATATACAAAAAATAAATACCAATAAGTATGTAGGAGTTTTCTCTGTGTTAGTTTTGCCTTCCTTATATTGTTTACATTTCTGCATTATTTGAACAATTCTAAGGTAGGATTGACTTCTAAAACTAGAAAAATTTCCCATTTTGGAAAACAAGCACTCTCCCCAGAAGTTGTACTATGCAGATGTATTCCAGATATAACCACACCTGGCATTTTTAATCCAATGATGGATAATGCAAACACGATGCTGAGAGGAAGTATTTATACCTGGTGCCCAGGCAGAATGGCTGAGAGGTGATGGCAGGTAGAAACCAGACCATAGCTCAACTCCACTGGAACACGTATATCTACCTCATTTTCTAAGTTTTTGCTCTAAAATTGGACTTAATCATTCTGGCTCATGGAGCCAGCTGTGCTAGGATCAACTGATCTCATGTGTGACACACTAAACTTTTTCTCAACCAGTCTCAATATAGCTACTATACACAAGAGGTAGGGAGTAGCCAAACTTTAATGCAATCTTAACCCACTCACCAAAATGGACAGAAAGTATAGAAAACTCTGGGCTGTAAACCTTCTCAAAGATAAAAATACTCTCTTTTGCCATCCCTAAAACTGTATTTTGTGAAAGGCTCAATGTTATATATGACATGAAAATTCAGTCAAAGATAAAAATCAGCTGGATCCAAGCCAGGAAGGTTTTGTGGAAAAAATATTATCATAAGCAAACACTTGTATAGCATTACCATATATATGGTAGATATTTCATCCTTGTAAAAGTTCATGAGATAGGTATATTCTTGCTCCCATTTTACAGATGTGAAATCTAAGACTAACTTGCTTGCAATCTCATGGCTGGTAGGAAGGGTAACTAATATTCTTTTTTTAATTTATTTACATTGTAAAGGTGATGTACAGATACAATTACATAAGTCAAGTACAATTATTTTATAACAAGTACTTTTATTTTATAACAGTGTCACCTCTTCCCTTGTTTGTAGTTAGCATTCTTACTCAGGCAGTTCAGCTGCAAAATCTGTGTTCTGTGACTTATAATAGCAACAACTGAAACAGCTTCCATTTTATTTCAAAGACTTCTCATGTCCATATCAGAGCACTGGTAGTTCACGAGTAATCCTAGCTACTCAGGAATCTGAGATATAAGGATCCTGATTGGAAACCAGCTTCAGAGAAAGCTTCAGCTTTCTCTCTGGGATCTGTCCACAAAGACTACAGCTAAAGTTAGAAAATTTCATGAGACTCTTGTCTCCAATTAACCACCAAAATGCCAGAAGTGGAGCTTTGTAGTGGGCAGAAAAAGATAATGGACAGTGCCCATACCTGTTCTACTTCAAGAAGTGATTGGACCTCTCTTTGATAACATACTTGCATACCCTAAGCTATGACTAGTGCAGGAACAGACATGAGGAAAATGGACATGTGAAATTATCTAAGTGTCATTCTCATTTGCTAATTCCATTTTGTCTTACTATAAGCACTTTCTTATCCCCAAATTCCCAGTCATAGGAATCTGTGGAGTTTAGAATAAATCACAGGACATGAAAGTAAAGGATAATAATGCTTCAGCTTTCTCTCTGGGATCTGTCCACAAAGACTGCAGCTAAAGTTCTTTTTAAATTAGGTCAGTTGTTCCTATAGAAACAAGTAAGGGAAGTTCAGAAGAAAGATTTCTGATTATTTCATCATTTCCAGTTAATCTTTCTCTTCCTTGAAACACACCCATCTCATATATTGTTCTTGCTGGAGAGTGCCACTTGTTAGATTTTAAAAGGAATACATCTATAAAAACTGCTCTAATAAGGTAGAGTCTACACCCTTGAAGAGGAGTTCAGAAGAGTCAAACATGTTTCATTTTTAAATCAAAGGGACAAGATCTTTAAATCCTTTTTTATTTGTTAATTTTAATTTAATTAAAAAGGACACATTCTTGAGCCTACACAAAGCATCCAAATTCTCCAGTTTAGCTAAAGTACATGTCCCAGTCTCTTTTGTGCTCATATGTGCCTCTGTGGGGTGGGCGGGGGGGGGCACTGTCCTTCAACTTTTTTTTTTAAGGTTAGCACTCTACCATTTGAGCCACATCTCTACTTCCAGCTTTTTAATGCTTAACTGGAGATAAAAGTCTCAAACTTTCCTGCCCAGAGTAGCTTCATACCACAATCCTTAGATCTCAGCCTCCTGAGTAGCTAGGTTGAGCCAGCAGCTCCCAGCTCATATGACTTTTTAAATTTTTTTAGACAAATGATCAATTCTATTGGAGAACCTGTATGACTCATAATGAGTCAGACCTTAAAGCTAGGAGTTTACAGCCTGAGAATACCTGTAATTTCAGAAATGAAAGGAACTAAAAAATGGAACTTGGCCAGAAAAAAGAGAGAGAGAGAAAGAGCATCTCCCAACAGAAAGGATCTTCTACTGAAATGGGATAAAGAACTCTTTGCCAGAGCAAGGAAGTTAACAGGCTTCCTTGAGCAGCCCCTCCACACACACACACACACACACACACACACACACCATACACACACACCATACACACACACCATACACACACACCATACACAGCTTGCTTGCTTTCCCACCTCAAGCTCATCCCAGACTGTTGTCCTGTATGGAATCTTAGCCTGCTCCACTGAGCTTCTACAGCTGACCTCAGCAACCTCCACAGCTTCTCCTAGGAAAGCCTTAACTTGCTTTAATATTTCATCCCTGTGGCCTTAGACACTTCAGATTTGTCCTCTCTAGACTAAAAGGAGAGTCCATGACTCTCAGTACAGTGTAGGAAGGTTGAGATGAACTAAATTGATCATTCAAAACTACTAAGAGAATCCTAATTTTTTGTCTCAAATAAGGCAAACATTCTCAATTCTAAGAAAGTTAAGATCAGGAAATAGCTATTTTTCCAAAACACAGATATTATTTTCTGGATGAAATCATGCTACTTATTAAAGGTTTTCTTCATCTAAGGTTTCTTAAAAATAGAAGAAGAACCTAGAAGTCAGAAACAACACATATCCTAGTTGAGCAATGATACAAGGTTAAAATGCTATTCCAAGAGATCTAGAGTTTGGACAAAAAGGAAAGGTTTTCCTTAGTAGAGTAGGAAATGAAAAGGGGAGAAAGTGAAAATGAAAGTCGTGGGCAGACAAAGGTTTTGAGAAAAATAGAAAGGTAAATAAGCACAAATCCAAAGGCCCAGACCAAAGGAAGTAGGAGTTCCCAGACAAGTACAGACTGGTGCTGCTGATTTCCTGCCCATAGTGGGCAGTCAAGAGATGCCCCATAGCCTTTTTGGGGTGAGAGTCTTATGGAAGTCCCCATACCCTAGGAGAGAAGAATTAATGATCAGAGCCCATTAATTCTGCTAAACTATGTAGTAAGCTTTATGTTCAGTATCCCGAACTTCCTGTATGCCTGTTAGTTTCTGAAAAAGAGATCATGGCTAGATAGATATATCTTGTGATTTATGTGAGTTTTGAAATATGATTGTTCTAGGAAGAAAGGAAGCTGGGATAGTGCTCTCTGCTGTATCCTGTTACAATTCTTAATAACCACCCCCTTAATCTTTCTGTTCTTGAAAGGCAAGGGCAGCCTATGATCATCAGCTCCAAAAATGCTGGCAGAGCTAAATAGGTTTAAATGGACTGTCCCACTGTTCCGAAAATAGGGCCATTAAAAGAAAACCTAGGAATAATTGAAGTGCTTTAGGGGATAGATCATTGCTGAGGAAAAAAAGAAGATAAAAAGAAATAAAGAAATGGACAGCCCCCAAGAAGATGAAAGGAAAATCTCTACCCAGAAAAAAAACAAACCTAATTATTAAGTTTTATGACCATTATTAAAAAGAGTGAAAGAGTCAAATGCTGATGATGCTGGAAGCCTGTAATCCTTAACTACTCAGGAAGCTGAGATATAGAATCAAGCCTCACAGCCAGCCTGAACAGACTAATCCATGAAATTGTTATCTTAAAATAACCAGCAAAAAGCCCGAACTGGAGGTGTTGCTCACATGGCAGAGCACCAGCTAGGAGTGGAGACAGTCAAGGGGGAGCGAAAAGCCCTGAGCTCAAACCCCAGTAACAAAGAAAGGAAGAGAGAAAAAGAGAGGGGAGAGGGAGAGACAGTAAAGAAGGAGGAGAGAAAGAAAGGAAAGAAGGGAGGGAGATGGGGGGGGAAGAAGGAAGTAAAAGGAAAAAAAAAGTGACACGTGATTGTGAAAACCTTGTATGAATGGAGCTGGAGGCTTTTCCAGGACTAAAAGCGGTGAGACCCCTCGGGGAAGCCGATCATTTTGGGGTTGTAGCTCCTCCTATCTTACTGTTGGACATGTCACCTGGCGGGAAAGCAGATCATTTGGGGTTGTAT